CCTCTAGGAACCTCATGGCACATTCTTGGAACTCGCTGAAGGGCTGGCTCTTTCTCTGGTTGCGAGGAAAATGCAAGCTGTGTTCCAGGGTTGTGCAAAAGCCTCCCAGACCTGTTTAATGGGGGTCCCATAAGAAACAACTGGTGAAACTAAAGAAAATCACAGGGAAGTGGTTAGTCTGCCTATTTGTCTATAGGAGGGTCTTACTTCTGACTTCATTTGTTCCTAACTAGGCTGTTGTACATCTCATAAAAGAGCAGGCCTGTCTCTCCCTTCGCTACAGGAAGACTCAGCATTGGCTGCCTCTCAAATGGATACATAAAGTACAAAAAAATTTAAGGCAGAACCACTATATTGATAGCTTGACTCTGCCAAAAACTTTTGTATTTAAAGTGACCCAAAGTTCTTATTTGAGAGCTCTTCACACCACGCAGAGACTGGGAAGAACTGTTACTTCTCTTTTCTTTATGAACAGGAACGGCCTAATGACCACACTAGGATCAACAATGCATGGCCATGGGGCAACCACTCTGACGCCTGCTGGCTCCGGAGTATCCCCCGATCTCCTTCACTTGGTCGTTGAGTCTAAACTGTAATTTGAAGAACAGGTAACCCTGAAGCCCACACCTAGTTATTGGCACTATACTCTTTTCTGTGAGAACTCAAGATGCAAAACTTCATTCCTTTAACCATCATATTACCACTCATGGTATTTTAAAAACACTGTTTTAAAACGCTGGTTCTGGGGGGAAGGTATAGCTCAAGTGGTAGAGCACATGCTTAGATCAGCATGCACAAGGTCCTGGGTTCAATCCCCAGCACCTCCATTAAGAAATATAAATAAACAAATAAACCTAATTAGGCCCCCCCCAAAACCAAAATATATAAAATGTTGGTTCTACTTGTACCTGCTACATAGTACTGAGGAAGAAACTCCTCTAATACAGTGCTCCTCACATGGTATGAAAAACTGGACAATTAGAGATGAAATCCTCCCTTAAAATTTCTGAGTACGATCCTGGACTAAACTTAAGGAACAGGTATTTCCCCCCCCCACCCCCCGTACAGATGTCTCAGGACTACCTACACTGAGCACTGACATCCCTGCGTTATACCGCTATGCTAACAAGGGACCCGTCCTGCTGGAAACTAGTGTTCACAGTCATAACCTAGGCAGCACAAAAAGGTGGTCCCTGAAAATTACAGTGCCATTTCGTTTCCAAGGGCAAACTTCCATCTTTAAGAAAGAAGGTATGATAACTTAGAAAAACATCCTTTATATTTACAGAACCTGTGCCTCCCTGAGGTTGCCATATGATTGGCCTGTCTCTAACTATAAAGCTTTTATCATCCTTGCAACATCTCCTGACTTTCCTAAGGAAAAGTTTGACCACATTCATGTAAGCCAAACAGAATGCTCCTGGGCAATGACATTCCCACCAGCTAGGGCTACATGCTCTTGAGTGCCGAAAGACCTAACTTTGTAACAAGACTGCTCCGTAAACCTGCTCACCACTGAAATGACAGGCTATAGAATAATGCTCCAAATAATTATATGACTTTAGATTTCACTTAAGCTAGCCCTCACTGGCAAGAAATGTATCCCTGAAAAATCGGAGCGTTTCTGTCACTTATCAAATCTACAACCAGAAGTAAGTTGGAAAGTAACATCAGACTGGAATGTTCTTGGGTGGGATGATGGCTCTTTCAGAAATTCTGGGATTTAAAACATCATGTAAGGTCTTACAGAGATGCTGGAAGGCCTCTCTCGGTGGAGCAGTAAAACTTGTAAAACGGTGCTACAGGTAATGCATTGCAAATATTTTCACTTGGATACTGAGTGGTAAACACTGGAAACACACAGGAAAATATGGAGACTGCACAAGAAGTGTTCTCATACAGGTTGAAATTTAAGATAAAGTTGCTGCTTAAGAGGCAACTTAAGAGGGAAATGAAGATGCAAAACATCACATGCCTTAAATTCTGTTACAGTTCTTTGTGCCTTTTTCTTTCCCACATGGTAAAGTTTTAAGCTTCTAAAAGCTACTTTCACCTCTCTCAAAATATTACCTAATGAATTCCAGTGCTTAACCCTAAAAGCTCATGCTGCCTGCACTGCTGGAAAGAAAGCTCAGAGTCAGTAGAGGAGACACAATTCAGGGAGCCAGTTCTGATAAAGTGGTGAAAGGAGACCGACACAAAGGCACTGATCTGACACTCCAACGTGGCGATGTCTCTGAAAATGTATAATCCTGCTGCTACATACAATTAAAATATCCTTGGAAATGTCAAATGTCCAAAAAAACCCTTTTAAGACATCCAGAGTTTGTCATGTCCTGGGAAATGTGACTAACTCCTAAACATACATAACTCTTACTGGTTATTGTATTGTTTTAAACTTTTTTGCCCTGATATTATTTAAATTCATATCTTGGCTTTCTGGAAGGTATAAATCTCTGGGAAGGTTCTCTGTTAAGCTAGAAGAGCTTTGGGATTTTCTCTCCTCTTCTACATAGGGTAAAGTAGAGATCTTGAAGTCTCTGTTCAACCAAAGAGTTTTGTATGTTTGTTTTATTTAAATTAATAAATACAGCTGGATTTAAAAAATCCAATCTGATAATCTGTCTTATTAAGTAAATTAAATTCAGCTTATATAATTATTACTGATATATTCAGATTTATTTCTACTCTTTTCTTTTTTTCCCTCCCTCCTGCCACCTGTTGGATTTATAAAGTTGTCTATATTCCTTCCTGTCCCCCTTTTCACTCCCTGCCATTTCACTCCCTACGGGTTTTTTCTTTTGGTGGTCTCCCTTTTAGTATAATAAAGTCTAAAGTTATCCAGCATTCCTTTTCTCCTCCTAAAGATTACAAGAACTGTAGTATATGACTAAATTACTCCTTAAACATGATTTTGCCTCCCATACTGCTATCTAGCTTAAATTCTACATTAAAGTTTTTTTTTAAAAAAAATCAGTTATTATGACAGTTTTGTTTTCAGTCAATAGTAAATTGAAATATTTTTCAATGTTTGTGCTCACAGTTGCTTTCTGTGTTCCACTCCTTTCTTACGGGTTTGGTTTCCTTCTTCCTAAACACCATCCTTTAACAGTTTTTCAAAATGACAGCCCTAGAATGGTGTGCTTTCCTGGTCTTAGAATGAAAACATCTTTATTTTATCTACAGTCTTGAGTGCATTTAGCTGGGTATGAAATTCTAGATTGATAGTTATCTTTTTTCTCAGCACTTAAATATTTCTGTGCTGTATTCTGGTATTTATTATTGGTTTCTGTTAGAAACCTGTTCCTTTCCAGTATATTTGTCTTTTTCCCCCACTGTGGTGGCTTTTAAGGTTTTCTTTTCATCCCTGCAATTACAGCATAATGTATCAAAGTGTGAATTCATCTTTCTTCATCCTGCTTTGCAGCTGTAGCACACTTTTAACCTAAGAGCTTAGGACTTCCTATAGTCCTTTAGTTTCTCCATCATTCTCTTCCGTTTTGTTCTTTGGAAATCCTACTTAGATATATGCTGGAATTTCTCAATCTAACCTCAATGGCTCTTAACAGTTCTTTTATGTTAACAACAACAAAAAATCTATCTCTGTGCTGTGTTCCGGGTGAACTCATCCCTAGTTCTCGTTCTATATCTATATCTATGTTCACTCTATAGTTTAATTCTGTGTGCTGTGCTTTGGTTTCAATGATTATATTTTTCAATTTCAAGACTCCCCATTAGTAGTCATATTAAACTGTTCTATTTCATGTCTGCTGAAATGCTTCAGTTTCACAATTTCTTATCCTCAGTGGATGCTCTATCATCAATTCTTTTTGATTATCCAAAATATATATATTTTAAGTCTTAGCGAAGCTGTGTACCTGAAATAAATACACATATGTCCCAACAGTTGATTTTGCTGGTAATCTTTCTTAATATTGGATTTTGACATCTTAATTTGTTAGAGTTTTGAATGCAGGGCTTTTGTTTTGGAATGGTTATTTCTTCTTTCTCGTTGTGTACACCCTTTCCTGTCTATTAGTTTCATACTTTCTTCCTCCTGGGTCCCTGGGCCCAAGTTTGGAAAACAGTCTTATGACGACTTTTTGGAACAGCTGTTTCATGTATTAGGGTATCACGATATCACGTATCTGGACATAGAGCAAGTGAAGGACAGAGAGCCGGCCCTTTGTTATCCCTAGACTCACAACTTCCCATGAAACCATAGCCTTTGGCAGAAGATTGGTAATATTTTTCTTACTTTCTTTTCAAAAGTGGGTGAAGTTCCACCCCAGACTCTGGCTTTAAATAATGAATCTGACTCTGGCTCCCAGTCCCACATGGAACACATCTGGTCTGTCACTTGTAGCCAAACCTCTGGGCACCACCACCTGCTTGGGATACAGAGTCCATCAGGCCCAGTGCCTCATTTTTACTTACTATTTGGCAGTTCTGGTCCGTGAAGATAGGTACCTTTTTTCTGGAAGCCCAGGTTTGTCTGTTTGGTTTTCTCTTTTTGTATTTTAACCTGTCATTGCTACATGTTTTGAGCAAAGGGAATGAGCTGAAATGTAAACCCTATGCTCCATCTGGAGTAGAAAATCACATAATCCCTTAGCACTGTATCTGAACAAAATTCATTTATTAAACTGTACAGGTAAGATTAACAGGGAATTTAAAAACTCCTCTTTGTACCCAAATGGCAAACTAATTATAAAATATTTTCATAAATGCAAATTAAATCTTAACTTGAGATTCAAACTATATATACTTGAAAGGAAGGTCCATTTATTCTAAAATCAGTCTACAGAACAGATTTCACCTTTGAAATCAAATTAGCCTTACTTTTATAAGGAGAAACAAGACTCTAGAAATAACATTTATGTTTTAACCAAAAGTAAAGTAAGAAACTTTTCTACTGTATTTAACCTAAAAGGGTATCAGCTAAACAGAAACAAATAACCAAACATTTCTTATGCTTAATGAAAAAGAAAGATTTGTACCTTTTCACTTGTTAAAAATTTTGCAAAATACACATGCTCTCCTCCTGTTTTCAATTCTTCCATCTTTTTCCTCGAGGCCTGAGTATCATCTAATTTATAACTCTTAAAAACAGCTAGAACTTCTTCAGAATACTGCAAAATAAAAATACCAATTAGTGTTATTTGGTATTGTTGCCCAATCATTTGCTTAGTGCTTTTCTTTATCAAAATACCTAGAATTTATTCCCAGTTAACCATATATGCATACTGTAAGGCACTTTAAATAAGAAAAATTATGATGGCAAAAAATGAGGGTAAACTATTTTGTATGTGACTTCATGGTTACTGTAAAAGTAGGAATAAATGCTCTACTTCTAAAGAAATGTGATTTCTTTTGCAGCCTGTGTAAGGGACAAACAGAAATCAATGTTTTGAGAGTACACAGAAATTTACTAGTGAAATTAGCTGTTTAATCAGTAGTGAAAACTCTCAAGCATTTCTTGTGCTGAAGACTGTGAGCAAGTGAAAAAGGATGTCACCCAGCTGTGGGACAATTCTAGGCTACCTCTTACTCACCTCTTAATCTAAATCAGCATGGTTGCCAAAAAGATACTGCATATATAACACAGAAACACACACCATGCTACCTATTAACCTTAGATTTTGATTACAACAAAAAGGACAAGTGACCTTTAAGTAGCCAAGAAAAAGAAATAGAGAATTCTTATATTTTAAAAAAAAAAGTGAGCAAACTTTTCCTGTAAAGAATCAGATAGTAAATATTTTAGGTTATATGGCTCATATGGTCTCAGATGCAACTACTCAAGTCAGTTATTACAGCACAAAACCACAGATAATACATAAATGAGTGTGTGTGCTAAACAACCTTGTTTACAAAAACCGGCAGTAGGCTGGAAGTAGTCCAAGGCCACAGTCTGCAGACTCCTGTTCTAACAGGATAGCTGAAGTAATTTTGTGCAAAGTGAAGGTAGAATGTATTCTACAAAAATTCATCAATTCAGGTTGATTATACACACTATGTAAACAAACAAAAAAACAAAACAAACCACCAAGGCTGTAGTTACTTTTAAATCCTCAAGTCACTTAAAAGCTACTCTCAAAGTCAGCTGTGTAAATATTAATTCACAACTTAGCTTCTATATATTTTGAAATAGGTATAAAAATGTAACAGCTAGAATTATACTGAAAAGCACGCTGGACAAGAGTCAAGTTTGGCAGTGCCATTAGCTATAAAATACTGGGCTTTTGGTAGTCTGTGACTAGCAACTCACCTTGAGAAAAGTTTTCCATGAAATCTTCTCATAGCATTGCACAGGGTTCCTAAAGTAATCCTGAAGTGACCAGAATTTCCGGTACAGGTTGTAATCAATTGGAATGGAGCTAATAAAATAAATGTTATATTAAGTAAATCATTTAAGTTCTTTTAGAAACATCTAAGTGCTTTAACTTTTCTTGGGTCACAAATCCTTTTAAAAAGCTGGTGAAGCCCATGGCCTCTTTCCCCAGAAAAATATACATTCATAAATATTTATAAACTTCAATAAATAATTTCAGAGGATTCACAGACCCCCATCCCCTCTTGATCTTCAGTTGTGGAACCCCTGAATTTTGGCTGGATACATTCAGAACTAAAGGCTATGTTTCCCAACCTCTTCTGCAGCTAGATGTGGTCATGTGATTAAATTCTGGCCAATCAGCTGTGAGTGGAAGCCCTATGAGACTTATTTGGGCCATGTTTTACCATTTTCCCTTCCCCCTTTTGCTGGCTAGAATGCAGATGTGATGACGAACCGTCCTAGAGACTACGGGAAAAAGAGCAAACACCAAGGAACAGTGGAACAACAAATCAGAAGGGACACGGGGACCTAGACAATCTCCCTGAAGAGTGCTACTGTATCAGCCCTGAACTGCCTGTCTTCAGACTTTTACAAGAGGAGGAAATCACCTTTCATGTTAAGCTAATGTTAATATAAATCTATGTTAAAAGCCATTGGCATTATATCCTAACTAACACTACATTAAGAAGATTATAAAACAAATACAAATACATTAGGTACATATCAACTTAGTATTCTGAAAATAAGACCTTTCTTCAGTGTTTTATTATGGCATTATTAATTCAACTTCTAATTTGGCTATGTTACAAGTCTACAGTGTCAATACCTATTCTTTTAATCTTTAACTTTACAAGCAATCATTATGCTATAAAATGTTTTAGTTTTTAATTTGAAAACAAACATTTCAGACTTTGTTAACAAAATCCTCTGTATTCTTCAAAATGGACAACGAAGTCTTGAAGAATTACCCAAATGTCAAAAATGCTTTAGGTATCGACTATTTCACATCCTCACGTAGCCACAAAAATTTTTAACATCACGTCTATAACATTTATTTCATCTGTAAACACAACTGTGTACCACCTTACTCCATTTTTTCCAAATAAACCTTAATAAGGTGAACCCATGGAAGACAGTATCTTTGCTAAGCTTCACCCTCATATGAATATTCCAAGTAAGACTATAACTTTATATGGGAAACAGGAGGTAGGTTTAGTGATCCACACTGCACCAGGATCTCAAAGCGAAACGGAAGGGAGAAGGGGAGGAGAGTCTAGGTTGCCTGTGGTTGGCTTTTCCAATGTTAGAATACGTATCACGGAGGCGACCTAAACAACAGACTGCCTGCACTCAATTTAGAAACCACTTGATACAGCAAATCAGTGATTTAGGATTTATAATTTTAAGTAATATACATGAAAGTTACAAATAAGAGAAATCTATAAGCATGATTTCCTTCTTATCTACATTCTCACTCTAGTACCTGGTAAATCTTCAAGGTTTTATCTTTGTAAATCAAGAAATCTGAACTTTTAAACACTCACCAAGTTGTTGGAGCTTCATCATCTCCCATTTCACCTTCTTCTACATCCATTCCTTCTTCTCTGTCCTCAGTGTGCTGAATTAATAAAAAAAGGACAATCTTTTATAAAGCAGTTGTCAGGCAGAAGAGAATTGTATGTGACAAGGATCTGAGAATTCAAGAGCCATATGACAATAATACACGACAGTCATGAAGACATAGTGCAAAGTTTTAAACTAGTACTTCTCCAAACATAGTCATTACAGTCTCTCTGGGAATAAATAGTCTACAGCAAGTTATGGTTTGGAAATACAGCAAACAATGACCTTTTAGAAAAGTGAGAAGATCATTAGTATCCTAAAGAACCACAGTAAATAACTCGTGAATTTAAGTAGTTTTTGTCCCCAGCTTTAAATTGACCCTGGAAATCCCCCCCAACCCCTACACATAACATTTATTATCTGGGAACACTTTAGGATATGCTGGATGTTCAGCTCCATATTGAAAAATTCAAAATAGCAAGTTCACATAGCATAGTCTAAGAAGTACCTAAAAAATACATAAAGGTAAAAGATACATAAAGGTGAGTGACAGAATTTGAAAAGTCTTATGCAAAGTCACTATCCTTTCCAAAGGAAAGGATGATGATGATGAGTAATTTTAAGGAATAAATTAAATAAAGCAATCTGATTAATTTACAGTGAGATATCAGTTACATCCAATTAATAACATTTTAAACTTAAAACTTGCTCCTAAATGAAGAGAAGGTGCTGAATGCCCCCAAATTTGCCAACTCTGGACTGTCTTCTGGATATATTATAAATAATCTTTAAAAATAAAGTTGGTTTTGCAATGTCCTTTTGAAAACCAACGGGCAAATGATGGATTATTTAACAAATGGTTCTGAGATAAGTGTCTCACTGTTTGGGAAAAATATAACTCAACTTATTCCAAATTTCAACATTCCTGCTGGGTTAAAGATTTAAAAGAAAAAAATAAGATCACAAATGCACCAGAAGGCAAAGAGAATTATATACTCTCTTTTGTTGTTGTTAAATTTTATTTTTTCATTTTTGTGGGGGAGTTAATTAGGTTTATTTATTTATTTTTTAATGGAATACTAAGGATTGAACCCAGGACCTTGTACCTGCTAAGCAGGCACTCTACCACGGAGCTATAACCTTCCCCACCCCGGGAACTGTATATTTTTGTGGAGTGGAAGCTTTCAGTATGACACAAGGCCGGCAACACTAAAACAAGAGGTCAACAAATGTTAATATTACCATATCCAAATTTAACAGTTCTATACAGCAAACTCTATAAAGTTACAAGAAAAACTATAAACTGAGGGAAAAAATACATCAACATACGGTAGGTAACAAATTAATATTATTCCATACAATGAGTTTCTACACATTAATAAAAAAGACACTTCAATAGTAAAATGAGGAAATTGTACAAACAGGCAATTCACTTTCTCATTGTTTCTAATTGTTTTGAAGAAAAATAAATTCCAACAAACATACAGTAAGTTCCTTGACTTCATTAGTAGCCAAGGAAATGTAAGTTAATGCAAAGAAGACTTACTTTTCAAGCATATTATCAATTAAGCAAAGATTTTTAAAAACTGCTAATTCCCACTGTTGGTGTGAGGTTGTGGGGAAATGCGAGGGCATTCTCTGTGCCACTGGAGATAGCATAACTGGGTACAATCTTTTTGAGAAGTATCTGGGTAATAGTTATCAAAGTTTGATATACACACTTATTTTGATAGAGCAATTTCACTTATCTGACTTTCTCCAAAGGAGACACCTGCATAATTTAGCAGTGACATACAAAACACTATTCACAATAATGCTTTTAACAATTTTTCACTACTGAAGATTATCTAAATACCCACTGACAGGGGACTGTGACATATCCAAAGGCATCATTAAAACACTGAGACAAATCTAAATGTACTGATGCAGACAAGCTTCCATTTTATACTGTTAAAAGTAAACTGTATGACCTCATTTTTGGAATGAAACTACAAACACACAAAAAAGTCCTCTAAAAACAGACAGAGAATGTTACGAGTGGTTATCTTTGGGGCCCTGGATTATAGGGTAGCTGCATTTTCTATTTCAAATATTTCTATTTTGTCTGCATTTTTACACAGAATGCATATTATTTCTAGAAATTGGAAATAAAAGTTAAAAAATTTTTGATTTAGAAGACCCATTCACATGAGTTATCTCAATAACAAACTTAAAATATGTTCTGTTAGGTTTCATATCAGCCTCACCTTCTGACCCAGTGTACTTTCCTGTTCATTGGTATTGAAAACAGTGACATTTTCCAGATTAAATTGACTCTGCAAGTTAAGGCCTATTAAAAAAAAAAAAAGATTTTCAAAGCAAATCCACTGAACACCTAAACTTGTTTAATATAACTGTTGTCTTATAACCCAAATATATAAAATGATAAATCCATAATTAAGCAAAAGATCAGGTCAGAAATAATATCACACTTGATTTTCAAATTCTTTTAAAAGTCATTTAAGATGCCTTTAGAGCATGCAGAAATATAGCTGATCCTTGTCATTCATGAATATTCTAGAATAATATTACAGAATGCAATATGTAGTAGTTTATAATTTTGCTGAAGCACAAATAAAAATTGTACTAATAAAGTATGAGTGTATTAACAGTACTTATAGTAAATACATTACAGTTAATAAGAGCCAGGTTTCTTGCTGTCAGGGAAAGAAATTATAAATAAGCAGGTCTATTGGTGCTGGATTAGACTCATAAGTATCAATCAGTATGACACCATTGTTTTTGTTGTAGGTCATTTAAAAAATATACAGACAGACACATAAATAAATACAGATGCACATGAACACAGGTTAGTACACATATAGCCTCTGAGCTCTGTCCCGAGAGCGCTTTAGAAGGAGTGATGTTCTAGTAACAATCAGCATACCTAGTGACCAGATCTCGTCTCCTAAATACCATTCTTAAGTAAATCAGGCTCTTTGGAGAAGTGGTTGATTCCAGGGGTGGGGCATGGAAAACACAAGATGCACCTGGACTACCCAGGAAAACATGAAAGAGCTCCCAATGGGCAAAAAGTAAATAATGGTACTATGAGATTGTATCCCATATAAAATAAATATCCATTATAAAACAGATGAACAACAAGGTCCTACTGTATGGCACAGGGAACTAAATTCAATATCTTGTATTAGCCTATGACAAAAAAAGGAATATATATACATGTATAACTGAATCACTATGCTGTACACCAGAAATTAACACATTGTGAAAGACTAAACTTCAATAAAAAATAAATAAGTAAATAAAATAAATCAGAAAAAAATAACAAAAAAAAATCCATGAGTTCATACTGAAATAGATGATTGAATTAACAAGTAGCCAAGGGAGAAGAGACAACTCGTCTTTAGAAAAGAATCCCAACTCATAAATGTAGAAAGAGTGAAAGGAATAGAAAATCACCACCAGGACAACCTAATAATAACCACTGTAGGCAGATCCACTGACGAACTACGAAACCAATGGGCAAAGTTCTAAGGAGAAAAAGGTATCTGCATAGCCTCAAAGTATCTTCCTCCAAATATTTATTAATTACAGAGGGGAAAATAGTAACTTTATAGCAGAGAAATGTGGTGATCAAAGATAATATCTTAACCAAGTAATCAAAGATAACATCCTTAGTAAAGACACATCAGTGTCATGTTAAAACGATGCACATCACCTCTGTGGTCTTTCCCAGATCCATAACCTAAACCTACTTATGAAAAAACATCAGACAAACAAATTAAAGGACATTCTAGAAAATATTTGAACAGTACTCTTCAAAAGTGTCAAGGTCATGAAAAAAAAAAGCAAAGACTGAGGAACTGTCACTGACTGGGGAGACTGGGGCAATTAAAGTGACAGGACAACTAAATGCAGGATCTTGGATGGGATCCTTAAACATAAAAGAGAGCACTGATAAAATTTGTAAAATCAAAGTCTGTTAGCTAATAGTGCTGCACCAATGTTGATTTCTTAGTTCTGATAACTGCACCATGATTACGGAAGAGGCTGACATTAGGTGAAGTTATTCAGGTACTCTATACTATCTTTGCAACTCTTCTTTAAGTCTAAAATTATTTTAAAACAAAAAGTTAAGAAAAAAACAAGAAAAAAGCTAGGCGGCTAAATGAAGTCATTAAGCTAGTGAATGAACCTGGCTGACCATTCAGCACTGACTACCTAAAATATCCTTGTCTATTCTCTATTACTCAGTATAGCACATGCCGTAATTCTCATTAAGCTAAAAATTTCGGTCATATGTTACTAAACTTAATGGGTAAATTACATGCTAAAATGATTTTTTTGAAGTCTTGGGATATACTCTAGTGAATCTTAAACATCTACAAATGTAAAAAAAGAAGAAAAAAATACTCCAAGAAGATATCCCCAAATGCCAACCTAGCTTATGTTAGGGTAACAGGATTATGTCTTTTCCCCTTCAATTTTAAATTTTTCTGAAATAAGGTTGTGTTACTTTTATAACTTAAAAATTAAACTTAAAAATATAATTTATTTAAAGATATATATATATTTAGCAACATATTGTTAGTCTTTCACTAGTTAATAAGAGAAAAAAAGTGATTTCTCTATGTCTTGTCAATTTAGAAATGAAGTATATTGAAAAAGAGGTCTAAATGTTTCTTAAAAAATGAGATGAGGAAGGACTCAAGAATGGCTGAGAACTGAAATCTTGTTCTTAGGTCTTCTGTAAATTCCAGGAAAAGAAATCACAAATTAGTACTTACGAGGAGGCATGCTCCATTTCACAACGAGACAGAGCTTCATTCATGACATATTTAAATGGCAACTAGATGTCTGGCACCATTTAAGGCACAGAAAATACAGAAGTGAACAACACAAACTTACGGAAAATGCCACATGGTGCTAAACACTAAGGAGAGACTTGAAATCAGGTAGTGATAATGGGTAACTGTGGTGGCAGGTTTAGATGCTCAAAGAGAGCCTCTTAAAGGAAGTGAAATTTGAACTGAGACTGAGTGACAGCAAAAGGCAGTAATGTGACGACAGACAGAAGGATTACAAAGGGAAGAGTCAGTGCCAAGCTCATAAGGTTCAACTGATCTTGATATTTTGAAGGCATAAGGAAGGTAAGATGTCAATTCAATGGGAAAATAATAGTTTTTTCAACAAATGGTGTTAGGACAACTGGGTACCCACATATAAAAGAACGAAACTGGATCCCCACCTCATATAATACACAAAAACTGACTCAAAAATCAACCATATACCTAAATGTGAGAGCTAAAACTCTTACAAGAAAACATGGATGTTAATCTTTGTGACCTTGGGCTAGGCAATAGTTTCTTAGACATGACACCAAGAGTACCAGCAACAAAAGAAAAAAATAGACATATTAAACTTCATCAAAATTTAAAATTTTTGCGCTGCAAAGTGAAAAGGCAATGCACAGAATGGGAGAACATATTTGCAAATTATATATCTGATAAGGGTCTGGTACTTAGAATATAAAAGAACATGTACACTAATTAATAAAAAGATAAACAAGCCAATTTTTAAAATAGGCAAAGAATCTGACTAGGCCTTTCTTTAAGGAAGACTTGCAAATGACCAATAAGTACAAATGCTTATCATCTTCAGTCATTACAGAAATGCAAATGCAAACCACAACCGTGAGATACTACTTTACACCCACTAGGATGGCTGTAACAAAAAAGACAACAGTAAGTGTTAGCAAGGATGTGGGGAAACTGAAAACCACCTGCATCGACAACAGGCCTATAAAATGATGCAGCCTTTTTGACAAACAGTTTGGTAGCTCCTCGAGAACTTAAGTACAGAGTTACCATATGACCCAGTAATTCTACTCTAAGATACATATCCAGGAGAAATGAAAACAATCACCATATGACCCATCAATTCCATCCTACGTTTACACCTACATATATACAAATCCACACAAAACTGGTCCACAAACGTTCACAGCAGCATTACTCACAACAGTCAAAAAGCAGCAACAACTCTAATGTCTGTCAACTGATGAATGGATAAACAGAACGTGGTACATCCATATAGAGAATATTTGGCTATATATAGAATATTATTCAGCCATAAAAAGGTATGAAGTACCTATACAACCAACAACAGAGATGAACCTTGAAAATAATAAGCTAAGTTAAAAAAGCCAGTCATAAAAGACCACATACTGTATTTTTTAAATGCCCAGAATAGGAAAATCCACAGAGACTAAAAAGTCCATTAAGGTTGCTTAGGCCCTGGGGCAGAGAGTGAGGATGGGGTAAGTGGCGAGTGACAGTTAATGGGTACACCGTTCCGTAGAAAGGAAAAATGTTCTAAAATTAGGCTGCAGTAATGACTACACAACCCTGTGAATATACTAAAACACAATAAATTGTACATTTGCAGTGGTGAATTGTATGGTATGTGAATTCACATCTTGATAAAGCTATTAAAAAATATAAAAAGGTGAGCTTCCAGTAATGGAAGGCTAATCAGTTAATTAATTCAGATTAATCCTCTACGGATAACTAAAAATGTGAATAAATTACATTAATTCTATAAATATTCGCAGAGCATAAACCATGTTCACAGTACTATTTTAGGCAATGAAATACAAAAACGGTTTTCTTAAAAATAGTAAAGAGCTGACATACGGTGAGGAATATCTGGCAAAAGTCAAGAAGGCAAGAAAGATAAGCAATGCGTCATCGACACTCAAAGCCACTTTTGTCTTGAGGGCTTCTGCCAAACAGGAAGAATCAGTTGCAAAACTGAGCTATTCTTTTAGCAGCTTTCTAAAGTTACGAAAATAAAAGTAAATCTCTGGGTCCAAGGAAAAGTGGAGCTTCTAATAATTCCTACTCCAACCATCTTCAAGACTGGGACCTACAGGGCTATGTCCTCTAGTAAGGCTGAACCAAACAAACTGCAGTCTAGTGCCAAGTCTTGCTGACGACCTTAGGCATCACAGGCCTTGAGCTGGGCTGGAGTAAGGTAACCTGGCACTGGTAACAGCACCCTTCTAAAGGTGCCTGGCAGGAGTAATGAAAACTCCACCTGGAGAAAGGTATCTAACCTGGGCCTCAAAATTATCCCCGCCAGTATCTTCTCAAATATAACAAACACTAACCAGAAACACAAAGAGGTAAGACATCAGGAGTGAGAAACAGTAGAAACAGACACTAAGAGACCGACCACAAAGACTTAAGGTACTGGAATTATCAGACACATAAATAAAAATAACAATGCTTACCCTGGTTAGAAAATTGTTTAAAATACAAGTCTGAAAATAACAGCCGGGAATAAGAAACTAAAAAGTTACACAGCAGACTTAAAAAAGAGTTTCTAGAAATGAAATTACTGAAATTAAGAACTCATTTAGCAAATTATTCACAGCCGAAGAGAGAAGCAGTGAGCTGGAAAATAGTTCTAAAGAAATTTTTCAGAATGAGAGGGAAAAAATAGATGAAAAATGTAGAAAGTGTAAGAGACGGAGGATACAGTGAGAAGGTATAGGATGTCTATTGGAGTTCCAGAGAGAGAAAAAGAGAAAGAAGCATACATAACATTTGAAGAAATAACAGCTAAAATTTTACAAACTGGATGAAGGAAAATCAATCCATAGATTCAAGATGCCCACAAATCTAAGAATGATTAAAAAAAAAAATCCATGCTTAGATACATCATAGTAAAACTGAAAAAAAAAAAAAGAAAGAAAACCACCAAAAATCAAAAAAACCCAAAGAAAAAGAAAATCTTAAGAGTCAACAGAGGGAAAAAACAAAACAAAACACTAGGCTGTCTTCAAAGGAGTTAGACTGACATTTGACTTATCTACAGAACACTGGAAGAAAGAAAACAAAGTAATGATTATCTCCCACTAAATGAAATCTTATATCTGGTGGCAGACTACAATCTTACATCTACCAAAACCACTCAAGAGTAAAGACATAAAGATTTCCAGACAAAACAAAAATCGGCACTAAAGGAAAGTCTAAAGGGGGAAATAATCACAGACAGAAGGTCAGAAATAGAAGTGGTAAAAATACTGGTAAATCTAAATTAATCCTGACCACATTAAATAAGCAGGAAAGAAAAAACAGAGATCTAGCAGGACAAAAAGAAAGCCACACGAAAACCACTGCTAACACATACTTTAGATCTTACCACATGCAACCTCTGTGGTAAGTTTTTCACATATTTTAACTGACTTAATCCTTATAACGACTCATGAAGCAAGTGGTATATTAGCCTGATATTAACGAAGGGAACACTGAAGCAAAACAGTATCAAAATCTGGCATATCTGAATAGATTGTGGAGGGCTCCAGAGAACTGGCAATGTTCCACTTCTGGACCTGGACAGTGGTTACATCAGTATTTATTCATAATAATTATACTACATGCTTACTTTCAGTGCTTTTCATATTACTGTTATATTTCACAATAATATATGATAAAAGAAAGAAACCGACGTAAGTGTGGCTAAACAGTAGTGACTGAGGGAGAAAATGGAAACAGAAAAATAGGCATACGTTAGGAAATGAAGTAAAAACATGATTCATATCTACATATTTCAGAGTAATTCAACTGTACGTTATTATTAAGCTTTGAACTTAAGAATCAATGACTTTATTTCAGGGTTCTCTGTATCACATATTGGGAGAGAACGATTATTTACAAGTAAAAGAAAAGTGACAGTTTACTATGTTCTTTCAACTTTTTAGAACCATTTTTCTTATCATCATGGCAGATTTTAATCCATTAAAAACTGGTAAAGATTTTCCTGTGAAGCATTTTATGTACAAAAGCTTACCTGACTTCTCAGATAAAGGGAAAAGCCTGGCCAAAAAGAGCTGAATTCGTCCACAGAAGACTGTGTTCTGCGATTTTGATAATCTTCGTAGGAGATCTAATAACATATGGAAACAAAGGTTACACAGAAGGGATAATTCTGTTCATTACAATCATACCCAAGTTTCTTAACCAGTTTGTCAAAAGTACTTTCCTCAAGCTGTAGTTCTCAAAATGATGGCAGAAACTATTGTCACAAAAAAGTACTAGAAAATTAGGAATAAAACAAGTTTAGCATGGGCAAGATAAGCTTCACTAAACTTTTTTGGTCTTCATTAAGTTTATACCCAGAACAGGAACAGTTTAATTTAAAGTGAATGATCAGTTTTAATAAGTCAAACTGCTATTTAAAAATGAAGATACTAATCTACTTAAAACATTTCATCACCTGTGTTTAATTCAACTGCCTGTTTTCCTGGCTGCATTTACTTTTTTAAAAAACAATCATTTACCACTGAATTACTTACCATTGCACATACGTAGTAAATAATTTTTCCCAGCAGAATAGAATGTATTCTGAAATTAAGAGAGAAATTATTACTATCGTTCTGAAGTTGTTGCACATCCTTCAATAACAGGCACAGGAAGTAAAATTTTAAAGAACACTAACATGCACTGAGAATCTTCTATTACACTTTCACTTTTTCAAGCAAATAACATTTTTAATGAAATTAAAATATTTTCAGATATATAACAAAACACGATTCTAAGTAACTGCTTTAAACGTGTGAAAGTGTGTGTTTTCAAGTTAATTGTTTCTACTCAGTTAAGTTTTGTACTTCAATTTTCTTCTCCACATATGACTCTTACTTGGCTTTTCCAAGTAAGAGTAAGTAATTCTCATAGAGACAAACTTTTTGGCAATCAGCAATATGAGAAATACAAGCAAAAAACATCTACCCTCAGAACTCTGGATCCATAGAAAGGTAATGTTAGCAGAAAAAGAAACTAAGACACTTACTGATTTCCAAGTGGCAACATTTTTTTCCACAAAAGTGAATATTGTGTCACACTGATCCAAGGGAAGACAATCCAAAACATCTCCCAACAGTACAAAAGGTGTGGATGCGGTACAGATACCTTCAAGTGGAGCACAAGCCAATTTAAAGTTTAAAATGCTACTGAGTAAAAGAGCCCAAGCAAGTAATTCTGAAGAAAAATCTTAAAGGTACACTTTGTCAATCCTAACAAGGCTGTGAGACACAGGGACGGGAAGCAACCTGAAAGTCCCCAGATGGGATCCACTCAAGTAAGTTTGGTGTGTGAAGATGACAATCACTCCTGATAACACTTTTAGGGCATTTATTACACATCAGGCACACTAGGTGCTTTACATATACCAACATATTTAATCCTGACAAACCTATGAGGTAGGTAACATTATCCCAGTGTACAGAAATGGGAAAACTGAGACACAGAGAAGTTAAATAACTTGCCCAAGATCACAGAGCCAGTAAGTGGTAGAGCTGGGATACGAACCCAGGCAGTCTGGCTCCACAGTCTGTTTTCTTCACCACTAAGCTATTCAAAAGAATATAATGCAGCCAATTAAAAATGATGGTTATGAGAACCACAATAACTTGGAAAATGCTTATGATATAATGTCAAGTGAAAAAGCCAGGACTCAAAACTTTATGGAGATTACAGTTACAACAATAAATTTTTTTTAAAAAGACGAGAGAAACTAAAACCATATACCAGAAAAAATGGTAGTTTTTTAAAGTAGAGGAATTATGACTAGTATTTTCCCTTTTTCTTATTTCCAAGTGTTCTACAATGTGGCTGAATTTAACTTGTCTTTGTGATTTGAAAAGATCTACTTCAAAAAAGGTAACAAAAGGTTTGATACTGATTTTAACTCTTCTTAAACTTTAAAAATAACAGTGTTGTGTCGGGGAAAGACAGTAAAATAAAAAGTTGTTTACTTCTAAATTCAATGTTATTTAAGTAACGTAATAAATTAAAGACTTTAAGGTCAGCTAGACCCATTAAAAATACTTGTATCTCCCTGGTCATTCTTCCTTCTAGATACTAACATTTGTTGAGTGTTTAAGAAAAGTAGTCACTTAACATGGTATCTAAAAAAAAATCTAGAGGCACTATCAGCCCCAAATACTGCATTAATATAATACAATATGTTCAGAAAAAGGATGTAGTATTTCCAGTTCTACTCTGCACTGGTAAGATCACATCTGGAATGTGATGGGAGGGATACTGTCTAGAACCAGTGGTAGGCATAAAGCAGCAAACTGCAACTCCATACAAAGGAAATCTGAGAATGAGAAGTACCTAACAGAAGTCAAATAGTGAGCTCCATCAATGGGAGCAGAGGCTGGATGACCACCTGCCAAGGACGTTACTGAGGGGAAACAGAATAGGCCAGAGACAAGATTGGACCTGATGACCTCTAAAGTCCTGTAACTTAGATTCGTGGTACTTTTTGTCCTATACATCCAAGAGATTTGAGAGGAATACTTCTTGCCCTTAGTTGCAGTATAGTTTGGCAGAAGTTAACTCACATTTAATAATTAGAGAACTTATCTACCTAGATTCCAGTCCCAAAGATTCTGATCCAGTAAAACTAAGCTAAGGCCTGGCAATCTCATTTGAAAATGGGAGATTCACTGGTGATTCTGATGAGCTAGGTTACAGCACAATCCCCCAGCACTTTCACAACCTGTGTCCCAACCTCCATACCGCCTTCTCCGGATCACTTTAACTTTGGCCACAGATACCCCCCACCCCCCGCCCCAGTTCCCAAACACCTTGCTATGTTCATACCTGCATGGGTTTGTTTAGGCTTTTTTCTGCCTAGTCAGTCTTCCTCCTCCCTATCACATGGTAAATTCCCTCTCCATCTTTCAAAGCAGAGAGTACATGGCATACCTAAAAAACTCCTCGGGTACCTCTGAGCCGGCCACCTCATCTGTGCTTCTGAAGTTATTATAGCACTTATTATATTCTGACTGTTCTTATTTGTTATGTAGACTGTGAGCTTTTTAAGGGTAGGCATTTTTCAATGTTTTCACCAGTAAAGTACGTGACACTGAACAGAAGCGCAATAAATATCTGCTAAGTTTAATTTAACAAAACATATCTATGGACAATTTGAAAGCCTGCCACATAAATAAACAATACAGTAATAATTTCTCTTAAGAAAAAAAATTTTCCCATCAAGTTAAAATAAAAAGGCATTTAAACTTTTATTTATGGTTTAACTAAGTTCTTAAGTCCTCATCTTTTTCAAATAAAACGTCCCATACATAGACCTTGTACAACTTCAGGAATTAAAAACACTATCAATCTACAAGAGGATCATATCAGAATAATCAATGAACTAAACAGATGCTGCAAACTGACAAGAAACTGGGCAAGGAAACCCAAGGTAGAACTCATTTAAGTATGCTTAATGAACGTATGATGAAGAAGCATCTACTGTAAAAGTTTCACACCTCAAGTCAGAATTTATGAATCAGGCTTAAGATCACAAAATAGCCTGCTACTGAACTGGAAGACCACTTTTACCTTGTATGTTCCAGTTTTTGTACAAATAAGTCTCAAAATAATAAATATGTGAATAATGCTTTCCAGATTAAAAGCTACTTTTCACATTAATTATACAAATAAATGAACACTTCAACTAAATTGGTTAAAGAAGAGTACTGATGATCTATTTTTTCATTGCTTTTGTCTGCAAATATTTAATGAGCTACTACCATGTGCCAGTCACTGTGTATTTACTATATGCCTTTTTATTTTTTATTTACTTTTAAAATTTTATTTATTTATTATTGTATTACTTATTTTGGTGGAGGGGGTAATTAGGTTTGCTTTTTATTTTTAGAGGTACCAGGGATTAATCCCAGGACCTCGTGCATGCTAAGCATGCGCTCTGTCACTTGAGCTATACCCTCCCCATCTGCCTTTTTAAAGGTATCTTCAAACCATCCCCCGCTGCCACTGCCCCATGTTAAGCCCTCTATCTGTTTTCCTGCCAGCAGTCTCTGTCAAATTCTTCTTCCATAGCTCCTCTTCAGCCTGGCATACAATGCCCTTCACAAATGACCCTAACCTCCCCGCCCTGCTTCTCTCCTCACCATTCTCACTACCTTTGCAGCCCCTCTCCGGGGTTTCGTCACAGCGGACTAGGCACAGCTATTCCCTTCTGCTTCTGCCTGCCAAATTAATCATCCCTCACATCCCAGCTCTTATGTTGCAGTTTTCTTTCTAAGACCATACAGATTCCTTTAGACTCTGAAGTTTAGAGAATCACTTCAACTACACTTCATTCCCACTTCAACTGCAGAAATTATGCCCAATTAAGACATTTATATGTCTGTTTCCTCTGTTAACCACCAGGCTGCTTACAGGCAGAGAATATGTTTTATTCACCACTGACTCTCTAAGCTCAGTACCAGGCACATAGAAGATGCTCAATAAATATTTACTGAATAAATGAAACAAGCGGAGAACAAAGAAAGTGCCAAAATGTGCACATTTTCCCAGTGATAAGAAATAAGTGTGAGCTAATTTCACTGGGAATTCTTGGCAAAGAGGGTAGGCAGAATTTTAAAAATGAACAAAATCAGATAAGCAGAGAGGTATGGGGAGACTAAAATTTAAATAAAGCATGTCATGTCCAAGATTACTTAAAACAAAACAAAACCATACTTACCTTCAGTTACTCCCCCAATAGCAAGAGAAATAATAGCTAAAACGTTTTCACATGATGAATGATTTATCTACCAACAGAGGAGAAAACAACTTAATATAGGGGCCAGAGTTTAGACTAATTTGATAGTAAGAAAAACATACCCTCTGACATTAAACTGATTATCACAAATACTGAATAAAGATATTTCTCACAGAAGATAAAATTACTTTCTAAGATGAAAATTTTAAAAATGAATGGTGATAGCCCTAATTGTAGAAGTATAGCAATAAGTAAACAGCAGGTGATTCACTTAAAATCCAACGGTCTCAGGAAGATGATGCATCAGCATGATTGAGGCTGTGAGCTGATCAAGAACAGATGTGCAGAGGCCATAACTTACTTAATGGCAAAGGCAGGGCCAGGGGAATTAATTATACCGGTGCATTAATATGCCTGAGGGAGGGTTTTAATAGAAGAAAGGTGGTGCTTAGATTTGATAACATTATAAAAGCCACCATTCATCGAGTGTCGTTTTATACAACCCTGATAAAATGGTATTTCCCCTCTTAGAAATGAAACTGAGACTCAGAAAAGCAAAGTAACTTGCCCGATGCCTGGTAACAGGTAAGTGAGTAGGTCTGAAGAAAAGGGAAGAATAAATTTGATACAGAATAGTCTAAAAGAAAGGGACTGTATTATGGCCATTGGAAAACGATCTAGCTTCTTGGGATCCAATCTTTGCTAAACCAAAGATAAACTGATGAAACTTTTCCTTTCCTTTCATTCGGGTGTTCAACCAATGGTAGATAAATTCAGATTTTTCATGTTTAGATTAAATTTCTCTACTGAAGTCAGACTCTTGTTATTTTTGTATGCTCCCTGATGAGGAGGATGCCACAGGAAAATGAGGGAATGGAATCCCAGCTGAACATCCTTGGACTAGCCCTTTCATGACACTACAGGATGTGTCACTGCTAACACAGCAAAGTGAGAGTGCCCACCTTCAAATTCTACTTCTTGCTCAGGAAGACCACATACTAGCTTTTGTTATACGTATTTACCTGGAGAGGGCTCTTTTCACTTATTGAACCAAACCCTTAAATTGCACCTGTGCTATAAAAACCCTTAATTATTACGTAATTCCTATACTGACTATGATCAAGTCAGCTTTCACTAAGTAGCAAGCTCACTCTAGAAAAAAATCACTTTTAAATATCCATTCTAAGACTAAAAGCAGTTTTTAAAATAACATGTATTTACCAACCAAATTTTAACAATAAATAAAGGAAAAACATACTTACAATTTCTTCTTCTAGAACACCTCTAAAAGCTTGGTCAAGGGTACATTTTTTTTCATTTTCACTATTAAAAACAAAGAACACCTGCATTTTTAAAACAGTTCAGGGTAAGTATAAGGATTTCAGCAAGCCTATTTCATGGATATCAATGTCTCACCTGCCAGGTAACTGGCTGAAGGTATTCTGAGTCGGAGA